TATGATTTAGCTTATTTTGGGTAAAAATAAGCAAAAATGTATATTATTGGCTTCTGTACAACTATATGACGGCCAAATAACCCAAGTTTCTGTATGGGGATAGCTTGGCACTATGCACTAAGATAGTGTGTTTCATGTTTTCGATGCAGACTTCAAAAATTCCATTATTTAGCTTTTTTCGTTAAAAATAACCAAAAATGTATACAATTGGCTTCTGACCCACTGTATTATGGTCTCGTCAATTAAAATTGGGCATAGATGGGCAGGGGGATAGCTTCAGGGCACTTTTGTTAGATACAGGCATTCAGAATCCTATTCTTCAGCTTATTTTAGATAAAATAGCCAAAATGGATTTTACTAAATTAGTTTGTGCAACTTTATTACGACCTAATGACCAAATAGTTGGCATGGGGATAGCATGGATTGTTGAAACAAACCAAGATTCAATTACATCTTTATCAAGGTTAGCATTTGACAAGATCTCGAAGTCAACCCATACAACCATATGTCAAGATTTACATCAAAAATATGTCAAGATATCAGCTTGGGCATTTTCTCTGAATGCATTAGGACATCTGCTAATGAATGTTTTCCCAAGTCCTAGATAGAGTAGCATCCACAACGCATCAGATTAGAGCAAATTACAGAAGTGCACATTCACAGTGTTTGCTCGTGAAGGACTCATATTCAGTATTAACAATTTATTCTTATCTAATCTAATGTAATCTAAATCTTATCTAAGTACAAACATGTATTTTCTTAACATGTCATTAGATGTTTTCAAACTTCATCATCAAAAGTTGACCACTCTCATACGACAACTAGCGATGAAGCGTCGTGAGTTTGAGCACGTAAAAGAGTGTGTGATGCTAGGTAGGACCCCCCGCCTCGTACATATCTATTTTTATTCAATTTTTACTAAGCACTGTGATTTATGTAAGTTCTATCAGACTTTTGGAGTAAATTAATCAACTTAGTAGTGACTGAAAGTATTTTCAAATTCATGAATTTGACTTTCGACAGCAATGGAGTATTCTACATCGTACGTGTAAGATTGAATATGTCACCTGCTGATGGTAAATTTCAGCATTGTTGCAACAGACATTATCACGCATGAGCCAGAAATGTACATTTTTGGGCAGAAATAACAAAAAATTCCATTTTGTATTCAGAACAACGAAGTAATCAGCATTCAATACTTGGCTGCCGTGGCAGTTATTAAATTACATGTTTGTACCGAATCTCGGGAAAATTTCTTTAACTGTCATGTAACAGGAGCCAACAAGAGTTCCGAGATCTCATACCTCCATGAAATACGGGCTTGACATGTAAATTTATTCTTAAATTATGCAAATGACCTCTACATAAACATAATAAATGCATCGTGATGTTAACTTTTTATTAACTTACACATGTTCCAAGTATGAAATTCCCATCATTTACCACTAAAGAGTCATAGAATTTTGAGATAAATTATGCAAATTAGGTCCGTATTTGCATAATTGGTATCTGGTGATATTCCTCCTGCCATAGATTATAAACATTACATGTATCAACTAGAGAAGTAACATTTGCAAAGCAAATGCATCATGTTTACCTTCGGACATGGTCTGCCCTGTTAATTTTTACTCAAACATATTCACATACATGTACTACGAGTATATGGTGACAGGAGCAGAGCAGACCATGAAGTTTGCAACATTATGTAACCCCACACCAGTCACCATGGTGACAGACATCAACAAATCATGTCATTGGCCAGGTCAGAGGTTAGTGTTTGGAGAAGAGGAAATTGAGTAAAAACAATATGTTTTCCTTCGGTAAACATAAATACCCATGATGTAAAACACTGGAATTACACAATTTCCTCATTAATTATGCAAATGAAGTCATTATTTGTATAATTTGCATCCAATAATGTAGATCTCTGCCTAAGCTACCCACATACCAAAAATCAAGAAAATACATTGTTCCTTTGTGAATTTATCGGCTCTGAAAGGTTTCGCCAGAAACCCCCTTGCAGTTCCAGAACAAGCTGTTAGGTGGACCAAACCCACACCACTTACTACTGGCAGGTAAAGCTATCCACCACTCAAAAATCAAGACCATAGCATGTCCAGGACAAAAGATACAAAAAACGGAAATTCTGCTGCAGTACCAAGGTCATCCACCAGGAGGCCCATATTTGACCTTGCCCTTTGTCTTTCCTAGACTTACCAACATACCAAATATCATCACAATCCATAAAGGTTTTATGAAGTTATGCTGACCACAAAATTGCGAAAACACACACAGACACACACACAGACATACAGACAGACACGCCAAAAACAATACCTCCATTTTTCATGGAGGTAAAAATCTACATTTTTAGTTAAAAATAGCTCCAAATGCCACAAAACTGGAGACAAAATGAGATTCCTCCATGCATACATTAAGATACTTCACTCAAAATGGTCAGGAAATAGACATTTCCCCACAAGTCTCCCTCTATTGCCATTTATGAAACCATTTAAAAGTACTATCTCCTGCGTTGCTAGGGAGGTATATTTTCCCTAGCAACGGTTACCATAGAAACATAATATAGATTTCCAAGGCCCTTTAAATTAATAATTTTCCTCGATTAGGAGTTTTCTTCAAGTTTTCCATATAGTGTGCACTCCATTTTGCTGGGAAAGCAGCCAAGTGCCTCCTTAGCAACGGCCCTAGCAACGGTTTTCCCCACAGAAGGCCTTTAAGAATAGAACTTTTAGACACTCATATCTCCGGATAGAATAGACGGATTTTTATGATTTAAAGCTTGAAATGTAGGAAATGATACAAAAAGTCAGATGAATGCATGCAGCAGGCTCAAATATGTAATCCGAATATTTTACAGGTTTTCAAAAGTAAACATTCTATTTTTTACCAATTTTTACCAAAAATTCGAATTTCGAAAGCTCATAACGAATCGAACATGACATATCGAAACAAAATTAACATTTTGTTAATCCTTGGTTCCTGTTTTATTCATTCCATGAGTTACACTGAAAAATAATCCGTATTTGATTATTTGACGCTCCCCTTTGCATTATAAGTGCAAAAGGAAGCGGTTCATATGAGGTCAAAGTTCAAGGTCAGATAGCAAGGTCAAAGCTACCAATGTGCAACGGCTATCATATCAAAAAATATTCCACAGACACCCTTCTTTTCAAAAACCATGATGAGAATTTGCCACCCCAGGTGGTACCGATATCTCCTGGCCCATGGACTACAAGTACAACGTGTTGTGAGTACGCCAAACGCGTTCTTACCAACAACCTTACAGCGCTTCTAAAGTTTTTGTAAAAATCCTCTTGTTAAGAGAGAAATATTGCGTCATTTTTATATGCAGACACCAGGCATCTCTTACCTGCATTTCTGTACACACAAAAAATGCAAAAGCTGGCAGAAAAATAAAATTTTAGCATCTATTCCCGTGCAGACCACAGCCCAAGCCGTCCCTAGCAACGGCCATAGCAACCAATCTACTGATTTTAAGTCTGTGGATGTGTTAATCTTCAAACACTTATATCTCCTGATAGAACTGATGGATTTTTGAAATTTAAAGTTTACCATTCAGAGAATGTTCAGCTGTATCAATCAAATATATATTTCAAGGCCCCATAGGTAACGGGAAAATATACATGATTATAAAATTTAATTTCTACACTTTTCTATTAAAAATTCCAAAAATTATCAGCTTTTCGAAGCACATTGTGCTTTACAACGGCTCAAAATTTATTTTGATATAAAAAGTGATGTCAGATACAGTAATACACCTCATTTTTTTCACATTATAATTGGTTTTCAGGAACAATTAGCAGGTACTAGCTTCCTAATACATCGTTTTCTTGGAAAAGCAGGTTGCCTAGCAACCGTTGCTAGGCAAAGGACAGTTCGCGATGGCTCCACCCCTGAAATTGTTTCTAGTGTCGTGTAGAACATTTGTGCCAAGTTTCATGCTTTTATCACCATTTGAGCAATTTTCGCACCGATCGCCTAGGC